CCCCCCCGGCCCCCTTTCATCCCCCCTCTTTCATAGAGTTTATTTCATGTCTATCACAATTGGTTGCAGCACTACAGCCCTCATAAGTGAGAGTCATTGATCATTCTATCTACCTTCGCCAAAGCCATTTCCACAGTAGCATGGCTCTTGGAGGCAGCATGATCACATGCTGGGGAGGGGCTGGGACGATAAAAACAAGGCCACAACTCCTTTCCACCGTGGTCACATGCTGGGGAGGGGCTGGGACGATAAAAACAAGGTCACAACTCCACCGTGGTCACATGCTGGGGAGGGGCTGGGACGATAAAAACAAGGCCACAACTCGCAGTAATTTATTGCTTCGGCAAGGTGCGGCATCCAAGCACTAGTGCTTTTACTGTTTTCCTTTCCTGTTGATTTCTTGCGTTTCAACTTTCAAGTCTTTTCTCTTTGAGTGAAGATCGCGAACATTCATTCTCGAAGCTACTTCTGCAGCTTCTTGCGCCTGAAATTGTGAAGATCGCGCAAGAAGCTGCAGATCGCGAACATTCATTCGCGAACCTCCTGAAATTGTGAAAGGTTCAGAAGACTCAGAAGAGTAAGAAGACTCTTTTTTTTTCTCCTGATTTTGCAATCAGACTATCCAGATATTCGCGGTATTATTCGGTGTTAAACATCAATTTACCAAATTAGCATACTTGAAAGTGGGGCCCGCGGAACCTGTTTTCAAAAAGTTAGGCCCCATCATCCCGGCCATCGTGGCAGCAGCCTTGCAGTACCACATCTACTTCTTCCCAATGGAAAGGCCGCCATGAGTAGAGCAGCACCTCCCTCCCTCCCTCTCACCCTCCTTCCTCTCATTCGTATACGTGTATGTTAGAGAGACAGAGAGAGGGGAGTGAGGGAGGGGGGGGAGGGGAGTGATAAAAAGGCTAGTAGTCACTTTTCAAGCAGTGGGTCCCCCTCTCTACCAGACCATTGTTTCTAAGTGTGTGTGTGTGAGAGAGAGAGAGAGACTGTCGAGCCGCTCTCCCTCCCTCCCCTCTGTGCATGTGTGGTCACAAAATCACCTACCAAAAGCTCTTTTGCTGCCAATCACAAGAATGAGATCATCAAGACATGCAAGCTTCCCTACCTGTGGGTGGTTGAGCGGGAGGTGTCCACATATCCACATCCTCTTAATCCCAATTTGCACTAACTCACAAATCATTAGCCTCAACCTACGAAAAAAAACAAGTTGGGCAAGAAACAGGTCCAAGACCCACCCAAGAGTATGAATCTTCAGGGACACCAGAAGCCC